CCTCTTATTCCTTATTACTTTTTAAATGTATACTGTCGATGATATAGATTTGTAAACTCCAGTCTTTACACCCGCTGTAACTCCCCGCCTTCCCTGTTTAAGGAACATTCTCCAATGGCATTTGCTTCTTACATGCTCCTTACGCTTATCCCTGTTTTTCTTCATGCCTCTAATGTCTGACAGTGCTCACCGTGCTCCCTTTTCATTCAAATTCGGCTCATCTTTGCGTGCGTTCTGTCGACAGATTCATCAAATGATTCAGGCGAGGGCGCTTCGACTGAGGCAGCAGGTCAGTTTTAAATGAGAGCTGCACACGTGGTTGATTCCTAGGATTCGCATTGAGGCAAACTGGTGGGTGGAAGAAGCCGTGACTATACCAATTGTTTGACTTTCTGTGCAGGAAGAAGAAACAGCAGCTGCTGTTGCCCTGGCGACCAATGCACTCCGCCAGCGTGCACAAGAGCTCCTAAACCAGGCAGCAGAGAAGCTCGAAAGGTTCGTTTTTGTCGCGCATCTATCCATGCGAAGATACGTCTGTCGAAAATATTTAAGGAGGCTGTATTGCCTAGTGCTGCATCTACAGTTTCGTTATATTTTGTCTGTGCTTTGCGATGGAGAGGCAGGCTCCAGCGCAAATGCATGCAGCGGTAAACTGACTGTAAACAGATGCAGTGCAAGCGTAGTTCTGTTGTAAATGCTCAGGCTGGCATTGCAGCAACGGAAGAGGACAGAAGCATCGGCTGAGAAAGCGGCTTCCATTCTCCGTAGGGCTACGGAGGCTCGTTGTGCACTGCGGCACGAGGTACAGCACACCCTTAGATGTAAACCCCTTTGCTGTGCGGCAGATTTCTTATGGCTTCGCCTATGCCTGCCTGCTGTGCACGCTCCTTGCTTATCCAGCATGTTGATAATAATAATACTGGTAATAACAGCAACTATTATTATAACTATTATAGTAATAACTCTTGTCCTACCTGGTGTTCGCAGAGGAATATGCTGGAGCAGCTGCGGAGGCGGCACGGAGGTGAACAACAGTTGAAGCTGAAAGCAACAGCTGAAGCACTGGACGCCGAACGCCGTCGCTGTGAGTACATTCTTCCGTTCGGCAGTTCTTTAGGGTGTCTCACAAGGGAGCTAGCTGTACAACCGCAGTGCAAAAGTCGTGGTGGTCTTAGATTTAGAACCTCATGCGCAAGCACTGTTCGCCGAGCCAATGGATGGTGCTTGGTGTTATGCCTTGACCCTTCAGGCGTCGATCTCGAAGCTCGAATGGAAGCGCTGCAGCAGGAGAACCGACAACTCCGGGCTGCGCTGCACCGTGCACAACCGCCCCAAACGAGAGGCTTAGTTAACAGTAAACAATTAAGCGCTACGGATGCTTCGTCTTCAAACCGGAAGCGTCATCAGACTCTTGGGTGTCATCCCACAACCCGATGTACCGCTCAGCAAGACTCCGCAGAGACAGCTTCTCTCACGGCAGTGGTGCTCCCTGCAGTACCACCTGCCCAGGGGGCGCGAGGAGGCTGTCGGTCCTGTTCAAGGCAGCCTGGAAAGGCTATCGGGCCTAACAGTCGCTCAACAGACTCGGCGGGGCGCCAAGCACTTCTAGATGTGGAGGTTCGACTGCCTCCTGCTGCCTGTTCAGCGGCATCAGCCCGTTCAGCCTGCAACGAAAAGCAAACGCATGATGTAGACATACATGGTGCCCAAGGTGCCCCTGATCGTCCGCAGCTACAACCTGAAGGATGCCCATGCCCGCCGCAACTGGATGCGTTGTCCCATCACATCAGCGATACGGGTAACTCCAAATGCAGCCAAACAACAGACAGCGTGCGAAAGCATAGACACCGCAACCGTTCTGCCGGAAGTAGTGCATTTCGAACGGACGAATCCACCAGCAGCAACGGCAGCATGAGCAGCTGCAATAAGCTTGAGAGACGGCGCCGTTTGCGCCAAAGAATGCGGCATGGAAACGCTCAGCTGCAGCGCTCTCTCTCTCGCGGATCGGTCAGCACTAGCAGCAGCAGCGCTGCGCCGGATCGCGAGAAGGGCCGTCGCCGCTCCCACTCCACGCGGCGCATGACGCGCGCACCACTGCATCCGCGTATTTCTTTCTCTGTTCCGCAGCCAAGTTTGCAGCAGCCCCTGGAGGTTGATGACGACTCCTCTTCGGGTTCGTCCGTGCCTCGACGGACCCGTACAAGCGGTCATAAGCTGGCACTCCGAGGAGACGTGGCGGGGCGGTTACAAGCATCGCTCATGCGTCTCCAAGAGCGGCAGGCGCTGCAGGGAAAGATACAGAATATTGCACAGCAGTTACTGCACCCGCACCAAGCGTAGCCTGCTGCAGCGAATGAGGGAGCACCTCATTCATAGGGCTGGCAGTAGTAAGACCCAAATACCTTATTTGAGCCGAACATAGAATCTAATGTGTAAAGACGTCAAATGTTTTTTGCGGGGACTAGATGCTGCGGGAGCTTTATTAGTATCTGGAATTGCAAGTCAGACACATCTTTCAGCACAAGGTCAACTTTTTTGTGTTCGAACTTCGTGCCGAATTTTCTACACATGTTGCATTATTTTTTCAGTGAGCGGAGGACTACAATTTTAATTAGTTTTGTCTTTGAGGTGGTGAGGGCTGAATTCTCTGAAGACTCGCTTTTCAGGATTTCGGCGGGACGGAATTTCATCGTGGCGCATTTCACTNGGCTGAATTCTCTGAAGACTCGCTTTTCAGGATTTCGGCGGGACGGAATTTCATCGTGGCGCATTTCACTTAGCCTGACGTCCAGAGTTGCGAGAACTTCAAGGCTCGCTGAGTCTTCCCGCACAGAGACATAGCGACTTAGTTCCTAATATCTGTGCGGAATAACGCTGAGTTTCCAAGTAGACTTGTTTGAATTGACGGGATGCAGCTCTCAAAAAAACGCCTAAAGTGGCGGTTTCGCGAACGGCTACGGCGGAAACCGATCGATAGACCAATGAGACTTACAGACTCCGTGACTATCCAGTTGCGAGCTACTAAAAAACCTCCTTCTATGGGGAGATCGCCGAAAACCTAGTAGAGAATTCGAAACCTTTAACAGGGGAGAGCTGTATGGTCACTAATTCGATGCACTGCTGGTGAGAATTATTCTGTCCAACGGGGACCAGGGGGGGTAGGCAGTTACACGAGTTTGGCTGTTCTAAAGAAAAAATTGCGTTTTCCTCGGGAAAGTCGCTATTCAAACCAAAGTTGGCTGCGATCAATATTTGACTGTTGGGCAAAGGCAGCCAGTGAAAATGAGCCTTGCATCGGGGTCACCCAGCGGTCGCTGTGCCCACTAAGACCATCAGAGCAATGCGCAAATGGGGGGTGAAACCGGCATCGAACATACGCGTTCGGAAGACACCCCCGCTTGCTTAATAAAATACTGGGGTTAAGTTGCAGAATATCTTCTACAGTTCCAGGAGGTCCATGAATCGTTCTGAATTACGCGTGTTGCTCTGCCCCGCCTTGCCGTTCGCCCGTAGCGGGAGCAACGAAAGACAGAGCCGATCTATCCGATTATCCGACTTAAATTGATCTTTTACTTTTAGTAAACGAATCTGAGATTCTTTGGTGCTTATCCTTCTGCGCG